TTTCAACCAACTCCCCTCATCCCCATCCGCCCGCTGCTTGCACAAAGTCCCAGGCCGTGCTGTTTCCTGAACCAACCTTCACGACGGAGACAACAGCAATGTACAGCCGCAAAGGACTCTCGAAAAACTTTGAGGAAGACACACTTGTACAAAACGAAAACTAAACTGGGATTGCCTGGATGGCTCCTCGCGATGTCACAGTACCATGGACTACATATCCCAGAAGTCTGTGCGAAGGTGTTCCTAGAAATGAGTATTTTATTTACCTGGTTCTTACATTTCTTTCCTTTTCTCTATTGTCTTTACTATGGTACTTAGCCTATGTTAGAGCACTTGACTCTAATGTAGCCTCTGTCTTAATACTCAGTATTGCAAATAAATAATACTTGTCCCTCTGTACTGACACTCTGCATGAGACATACATGGATCAGATTCCTTCTCTTCAAAAATAGTTTTTATGTGACTATTGGGATCCATAGACTGCGGTAAGTTGCTCAGGGACACAAAGAGGGTATAGATCGTTTAACAAAGTTAAAACTTTCCAACGTTGTAAGAAATGCCGTTTTAGTGGGAGCTCTACTAGAATTTTACTGGTCTCAGTCTGGTTGCTCACAAACACAGGTACATATACACCTCTGGGTATGTTTTGTTGTCACTGTTGTTGTTACTTCCCCTGCTCTGATTACACATGGAGGGTCACAGCTCCTGAGATCACACTGGCCACTGGCCCGTTACTCATTGTGAGAATTCTCTCTGCAGACATCTGATCTGTCTTACACAATTTCCTTTCCCTTCTCTGATCTGCAAGTGTTTCTATGTGACAGTATTTTGAAAGTGAAACAACCTGCCTTGAACTTACCTCAGTTCTTCAAAATTAGGATGAAGAAACGATTATTTCTTTAAAACAAAAAACAGAAATATCAAATAAGTTTATTGGATTTTGACAATCAAATACACCATAATCTCTAACCTGGAAGCATCTGAGAGTTTCACTATCATCTATTTTTCAAAAAGACAATTCATTTCTCAACATGCCCATACTAGACAACATAGTAGACTTTAGTAGTCCCAAGATTCTCAAAGCTCAAAGTCTCTTAATGTCTAATTCAATCAGTTGCTAATCTCAAACTGCTTATGTGAGGGTAAAAATTAAAACAGCTCAGCAGAGATCACAAACAACTTGACAAAGACCGCAGGACGGCTTGCTGAGCTTGCTGAGAATAGCCATAATAAAAATATCAAGCCCCTCTAGGGACGAGGTGACCAGAAATGTACAAACAACCAAAGACATATTTTGACCAGTCTAAACATGCCCAAGTGAGTAATGGGCCACCTGGTGTTTATCCTAGAAGGTCTGAGGTTTCATGGTCAAAAATAGTGGGTCATCCAGCCTGTCAAAATGATTGCTTACGCAAAGTGCTGATGTTTGAAATATCCAATTATATGTAACCGCGCCAGAATTTCCCGCTTTTCCCTTCCCCCTTGTGCCTCCCCCTATAAAACTTCTAAACTTCCTGGGGTCTTCATCGAAATTCTCTCTCCTGCGTGGGATGAGTTTCGATCCAAGGGCCCTTGTTAGTAAACTGCCTTTTGCTATTTTGCATCAAGTCAGTCTCTCGTGTCTCCTTGGGTGTACACTGATCGGGACTTGAATTGGGGGCCTCTTTCTGGGTCCTTACACTTACAAGATTACTCCTTCAACATGCCATGGACCAGTGGAAACATGCCTATTACAAAGGAGAGAACATGGCACCGGACAAGGAAGGACTAGAACAAGTTCTATAGACATGGCTTGTGAGAACCTAAGTCCCATAGCATCACATGCACTGGGTCTGTGGATGCTGAAAGAATCATTTGGATGCCAAAGAACAGTGTCAACCTAAACTGGATCTGTGTGGGCTGAAGCACAGACAGCCCCTGTCTAGATGTTGCTAAGGTTCTAACATGAGTCTATGGTGGGGTTCCAAGTCCACTGAGCTGTCATCTACCTGCCGGTTTCATGAAGTGGCACCCCACAAAGATGTTGGGAGGGACATTATACACAGTATCAATTGAATGGTGAAGCATTTCTCTTGACATGGCTGCAAAGCTACATGCTGACCTACAGTTGTACCTCAGAGCCTCCACAACTAGTACAAGGTGGACAGTGCTGTTCAGTCCTCCTTCCATGTTGGGATAATGTCAGGCCCCAAGATGGTTCCCTTTGTCTCTGTGTGCTGACCCTGGAGAACTTTCCTAGAAGTGTAGTTTTGAGCAGGAAGCTTCCACAATGGGCTTTCAAATGTAATCAAAAATTCAAATGAAATTGCACTTCCACAAGAAAGAGACTTCCATGGATGTACTCTTGACTCAGAGCACAATTAATGTTGGCTCAGGACAAAGTACCAGGATGGCCCATATTGGAGTTAATCTCTATAACAAGTATAGGACATTTCACAATGTCTGTAACTTTAAAGGTATTAGAATGAGAATGGCACCCTACAGCCTCATACAATTGATGTTTGGGTCCTAGTTGGTGGGAAATATTTGGAAAGGATTGCGAGGTGTGACCTTGTCACAACACAATTGTCACTGAGGGTGGGGTTGAGGTTACACGGTAGCATGTGATTTCCAGTTATCAGTAGTGTGTCTCAGGTGTGGATCAAGATGTAAGCCGTGTGCTCCTGCTCTCGACCATGCCTGCCAGCTTGCAGAGGAATGACTGACTGCTCAGCTCTTCAACCACAAGCACAAAGTCAAACTGCTTTACATGTTGTCTCACCACATAATAAGACACGCCGGTTCTGTGATTTTCCAGTGGAGAAGAGAACAGTCTGCTCACCTCAGATCAGGCTGTAATGAAAAACACAGCAAGCATTCCACCCAAGACTCTATCACGAATCAAGACACAGCAAAGTCTCTGGCTTCGTGAATCACTGAGTTTACTGGGGCTGCTGACAGGCATTTGATTGAGGGATTAGCACAGGAATACAGGTGACTCAAGGCAGCATGTGACTGAATGCTGGGTAAGAACTCGGGAAAGTTGCATGCCTGCAGACCACTCTAAGTCTTGTGGGATGCTGCAGTGATAACAGGGGTCTCACCCCCTATAATCCTTACTGTCTATATCAGCTTCATCAGTGAGGCTCCTGTGAGTCTTGTAAAGAACTCTGAATTCCCCATGCTTGGTGTCAAGCTTTCTTTCTTAAGGTTAATGGGGCCCACCTCCAGAACGGGACGTTTTCTTAGAAGGGAAATTGCTGTTGGTCAAGTCACAAAGACATTCATGACTGAGGGAGCAATGAATGCTTCTATTCAGCACTGTTTACACTGTCGAAGGCCTACTCCAAAAGTGGGAAGACACACGTGTTTAGAGAGGGTACTCTTTCATTGATGACCACAAAATTCTCATAAGAAACGGTAACAGAGTTTTGTCTCCTGGGTGATTCATGACTTACCGTGTGAACAGTCAATAATTCTGGGTAACTGGGTTTTAAAATCACCTACATTGGGGTGACCTCATCAGATATTGGTGTCTAGAAGTGAGTTTCAGATACAATTATCTTCCTTACCGTACCTTACTTTGGAACAGGGTCTTTACATGAACCTGGTGGATGGTAGTCTGTATATTCCCCAAAGACCAATCTGGACATGAGGTAGTTAGTACTTAAATGACTGAGGTCCATCTAGTCCTGACTCCATTCATGTTCACTTGAACACTTCCCAGCCTTCTACTCTCCCTCCATAGTGACATCTGTTCATAAACCATGCTTTAAGGCGTGTAGGACAAGCGGCTTTCAGAATCAGCCTCTCCTTCCTGTCCCCGGACACCTTATTTCCAGTCCTAATTTCTCTCTACACTTTACATATTACATACTCGGTTACTTCCAAATACACTGTGTAGTACCCTCACTGAAGTTTCCCACTTTCCCCACTAACAGTTACTTCTTATGGGAATCCTCTCAGTTTGGGTATTTGTGTCTATATCACTGTTATACAGGACACTGTATCTTCACCGGTCGACCTATAACATCACATCACTGTCTGCTTTATTTAAAGACAGAAACAACCATTTCCTTAGCCATAACCAAGAGACCACTCTATCAAAAAATGTAGGGACACAAATGGGTCCCTGACAATCATCCCTCTTCAATTTGTAACTTTGTAGGTGTAGCAGAAGTCCCATGTGTTCATTAACATGTTCTCACTCCCAGGGTGGTCACTGTGGGACTTTATGCCTTTCAGGTTCTGTGCTCACACAGATTTTGCTGCCTCCTCTCTTACAATACTCTCTCAGGTTCAGATGGAACCACAACCGCTTTCAAATCTACAAAGAATAGCCTTTTAGTTTTAGCATGGTGGCACTCTAGAAACTCATTTCCACTGTTTTACTACTATAACCGCTCCTAGGGTTGAAAAAGACAGTATACATTTAGTTATCTCAGACACTTCTACTCATGAGGTCACAGGTTCCTGTCCTGGAACAGTGCCCCTGACTCTGAGAGAAAATAGATTTAGAAAAAGAAAAACAAACAAACAAGCAAACAAACAAGGCAGCTCAACTGATTCATAATGAGGGTAAAAAACCATCTGTCTAAAACTCTCCATAAAATTCCAACATCACACATTTACCAGGGCTACCTCTGTCATTCTGGAACTAAATATGACTTCAGTGCATTCTCTTAGATTTTCCTGGAGAGAGAAACATTACTGCCCATTCAGCCTAGGTGAGAACCAATGCAGACCATTGGTTTTACAAAAGGTGAAACGTGAGTTTATCAAGCACTTTACATGCCCAAGGGAAACATTATTGGAGGAGCTTGAGTGACACCACTGAGAAAAACGACAGTAACTATACCATGGCTCAGATCTCAGACCCACGTTATGAAATAATAACAGTTTTGTTTTATATCTATAGGTATAGTAGAAAGAGACTCATCAATCATACAATATTCATGCACACTATAGAACACACTGGTTGGGAGGATATAGCAAAGACAAGTGTCTACTGTTCTCTGATGACATCCTCTGTATTTGTACTGATGATGTAACATGTTGGTGCTGACATTCCAGACTCATTCACTTAATAGTCTACACTATAGATTGAGTTGGGTAAGGTTTGAAGGATTAGGAATGATTTTTCCACACTCCACACAGTCACAGAGTTTTATTCAGTATGAATTACTTGATGTCTTTTAAGGGCTGAAGAAGTATAAACTTTTTAAGACCTTTGCAGGCTTTCTCTCCAGTATGAACTGTCATGTGTCGAGTAAGGCTATAAACATTAACAAAGGCTTTGCCACATTCCACACACTTGTGTGGATTGTCTTCAGAGTGAATTGCTTGATGTCGTACAAGGCATGAGGATGAGGAAAAGCACCTAGGACACTTTTCACACTTGTAGGATTTCTCTCTAGTATGAACTGTCTTATGTCTCCTAAAGGATGAGTGATAACGGAAGGCTTTGTGACACTTTTCACACTTGTATGGTTTCTCACCAGTATGAATTGTTTGATGTTCCTGAAGACTTGCAGAACATGAAAACCTTTTTCCACATTCTTCACATTTGTAGGGATTGTCCTCAGAATGGAATGTTTGATGTCGTCTAAGGGATGAAGATGAGCAGAAACATCTCCCACAGTCTTCACACTTGTAAGGGTTGTCTTCAGAGTGAATTGTTTGATGTCTTCTAAGGCAGGAAGATGAGGAAAAACATCTCCTACACTCTCCACACTTATAAGGTTTCTCTCCAGTATGAACTGTCTTGTGTATCCTAAGGGCTGAGTGATAACGAAAGGCTTTATAACATTCTCCACACTTGTAGGGTTTCTCTCCAGTATAGATTTGTTCCTGATTCTGAAGGTGTAGAGCAGAAGAAAATCTTTTGACACATTCTTCATACTGGGAGGGATTTTCTCTACAATGAATTCTTTGATGCTGTTTGAGCATTGAAGGATAGTAAAACGATTTGCCACAGTCTTGACACTTGTAGGGTTTTTCATCAGTATGATTTTTCTGGTGTATAAAAAGTGACGAGCGAGTACTAAAGGCCTTACAACACTCTTCACACTCATAGGGTTTGTCTCCAGTATGAAGTCTCTGGTGTATGGAAAGTGCTTTATGAGAACTCAGGCCCTTACCACATTCTCCACACTTGTAGGGTTTCTCCCCTGCATGAATTCTTTGTTGATTAATAAGTAGTGATTTATAATTAGTGGTCTTGCTGTAGTAGTTAGGATCATTGGGTGTTATTCCTGTTGAGCCAAAGTTGAGATATGAACAAAAGTTAAGCAATAGTCTTTATACTTATATGGCTTACTTTTTAAAATGAAGACATTGACTCATATGTATTTAACCTTAAATAAAAATCTGCAGTATATTTCAATGCCAGGAAAATTCACAAATAGAGTTGGTGCAAAGAATGTGTACTTTTACTGGA